GAGATGGGACAGGAAGGGTTAACTCCAAAATCAACGAAGTACATTTCATAGAAGAATACCAACATATTCATGAGAAACTGTATTGTCTCCTTCCTTAATAGACCAACCTGAAGTTCACTTAGGCCAATCAAATGACGATAATGGGTTGTGTTTCTGCTAGGCAAAGACTAAAAGAAATATAAGTCTAAGGGATTAACAAATTCACAAAGAAACCCTGGTGAAGGAAATCCTGAATTTCTACTACTTGGAGCTTGGCATGACCATTTCACACCTGTAATATTATTGTAACTGTTGCCAAGATTTTTGCTATATTCCGTTTCTCTGGGGACTGTGAATAATATGAGTGTCAGTCAACAGATGAACAGGGCAGAGGTTGGGAACTGAATGGTCATCACAGAAACAGTTTTCTCCCATGCAGATTACCCTTGGCCTTGAATCTGTTGCTGTCTACAAGTCAGAGCTGTCCCAGAAGTGAGCCTCTGGAGCTAATAAATGATGACACACTCTGGTCTTTCACTTCCTGTTCTATTCTCTCCTTTCACAGCTTAAACTAAGTTGAGAAAAAAGGGGGACTACACTGAGGGCCTGAGCTTTACCCAGTCAAGCCCTCAGTATCCCCATGTTGTCTGATGAGCAGACGAGACTAAATGATCTGGGAAGGCCCTTCCAGCTCTGCTGTGCCAGGTTCTAAAATTCTAAGACATTGTTATCTGTTGAGCCAGTTGTCTTATGGGAAATCCCATGAGACATTCGTTTTTCTAAAAGAGCCAATTGTTTATTTCTCTGCATGGGCATATTGGTGAGAGTTAAATACAGTCAAGATAGCAAATGTGTTGCTGTGGCCAATTGTCTTAAGCATTCTTACCCTTCTGATGGTCAGGGTTGTCTTTGTAACAGTGATTCTCATTGTCTGAAATAGTTAAGGATTAGCATTAAACTGAGGACTGATAAGAGTGAGATCATTAGGCAGGCATTGTTAGTAAGTATAAAAGGGGAGGTAGGGTGACAAGTATTCAGGACTTCTGTAGGCTGATAACTTAAAGCGGGGCTTAGAGTCAGAAAGATGCCCAATTGTTAGATTTCTTTGTCATCATGGCCCTTGACTTTAGCCTATTCTCAAAAAATGATCTTTCTATAATATTAGCCAAATAATACAGCTGAAACATCCCTCGACCTGTTAAATGGCTTAAATTGAAAGTTATAGATGATGCAGTTTTGATTTTCAAATTTTTTAAAGAAGCAGTAAACTCTCTTCTCATCCTCTCACCCCACTCCAAAGAAAATATTATGGTAAAGCAAGTATATAAACTGAGAGTGGAGTTATGCAAATTGAAACGTCTGTATATGTGTGTGGGGGATGGGTATGACTGCCTGTCCTTCCTTCCCTTCCCATGAAACCCTAGGACTCCTTGAAAATGACTTTGAAAATCCTTTGCCAAATAGATAAAGTATTGTACTGTACTGAGATATAGGTAACTTTGGGTAAGTCCCTTAAGGTCTCTGAGCCTCATTTCGTCACCTCTTACATGGATACATGGTTATCTTACCTCAAAGTTTGCTTTGAGGATGACATGGCAGTTAAGAGCTTTGAAAAGGGGAAAAAAAAAAAAAACCACAAGGATACTTGTTACCTTAATAGTGTAGTGGTTCATGACACAACCCTTGCAAAGAAAGTAGAGTTACTGAGAACTAGCACAGCAATTGGGTGGTTAAAAAATTTTTTGAACTACAGTACTCATTACTTTTAAAAACTTACATAGTAAACACTAATTCATTTCATGCTATGAGCTTGGTATGGGGAATACAAAGATAAGTACCTTATAATTCCTGACCTCAAACTCATTTATCTGTGAGGGAAATAGACAAAAGAACAGTATCTAATCTTACAAGCACAAATATAGAGCTATGTACAGGGCATTATCAGATAACCTAAATCTATCAGGATGTTGGAGTCATAGCGGTTTGAGAATGCCTCACAGAGAACATGATATCTGGCTAGAACCTTGACAGATGAGTAGAAGTACCTCAGGTGGTCAAGGGAAGGTGTTGAAAGTCTAAGGAACAGCATGTGCAAAGGCACAGAGCATTAGACAGGATCCAGGTTGCTGAGTTCAGGGATCTGTGGGTGGATCAGCATCGCCAAATTAAGGGTGCATTTAGTGGAGTGAGGGGAGTGATGAGAGAAGAGGCTGGAGTCACTGGCAGGAGCCAGAGAAGAAAATTTCTGGTAGGCCAACCTAAGCTACTTGGGATTTTTCCTGAGGCAATAGGGAGTCATTGAAGGATTCAAAGCAAGGAAGTGTCATAAATGACTGTTTTAGAAAGGTCAAATTGGCAATAGTGTGGAGGATAGGAAACCACCCTGTAGTCAAAGATTGAACCAAGATGAAGTCAGGGAGTATAGAGAAGGAGGCAGGAATTTCAGAAATATTTGAACGGTAAACACAACAGGACTTGGTAATTGATTTTATCTGAGGGCTGTGGAAGAACTAGTTTTCAAAGATGACTCCCAAGTTTCTGGCTTAGATGACTCATCAAGATTAGGAAGATTGGAGGACAGAGTGGCAGAGAAAGTTTGAAGGAGGCCGTGAGTTTTTGGCTTTTTTTTCCTTTTCTTTTTTTTTTTTTTTTTTTGAGACAAAGTCGCGATCTTGTCCCCCAGGCTGGAGTGCGATGGCACGATCTCGGTTCACTGCAACCTCCGCCTCCGGGGTTCAAGCGGTTCTCCTGCCTCGGCCCCCGAGTAACTGGGATTACAGGCGCCTGCCACAACACCTGGCTAATTTTTGTATTTTTCAGTAGAGACGGGGTTTTACCATGTTGGCCAGACTGGTCTAGAACTCCTGACCTCAGGTGATCCACCCGCCTCGGCCTCCCAAAGTGCTGGAATTACAGGCATGAGCCACCGCTCCTGGCCATTTTTTGGCTCTTGAGGTACCTGTGGGGTGAAGGCAGAAACGTGAGAATCATCAGCACATAGGTTATCACAACCATGGAAATAGTCAAGAACAGACAAGCAGTAGGCGTGTGGTGAGGAAAAGTGAAATCAGGAGATTAAATCCTGGAGAATAAGAACACATAGAAGGTATGGCCAGAGGGTCAAGAGAAGAAATTAGAGAATGAAATCCATGGGAGAAGAGAATCTCAAAGAAGGTGTGATGACTCTGACAAATGTTACAGAGAATTCATGAATGATTAGGGCAGAAAAGTGTTGATTTGACATAGCGATTAAGAAGGTAGTATGAGGAACATGGGAAAAGCATTTGAGGGGTGGGTAGGGAGAAGAAGGCAGAAGATAGATTACAGTGTGTTAAGAAGTAAATGGCAGAAGTGACAATGTGGAAATGGCTAGTAAGGACATTTCTTTTAAGAAACTTGGGCTAGGCGCAGTGGCTCACACCTATAATCCCAGCACTTTGGAAGGCAGAGGCAGGTAGATCACTTGAGGTCAGGAGTTTGAGACCAGCCTGACCAACATGGTGAAACCCCGTCTCTACTAAAAATACAAAAATTAGCCGGGCATGGTGGCACACGCCTGTAGTTCCAGCTACTTGGGAGGCTGAGGCAGGAGAGTCGCTTGAACCTGGGAGGCACAGGCTGCAGTGAGCTGAGATCACGCCACTGCACTCCAGCCTGGGCAACAGAGAGAGACTCCATCTCAAAACAAAAACAAAAACAAATACAAACAAAACAAAACAAACAAACAACAACAACAAAAAAAAACAAAGAAAAAAGAAACTTGGTGGTGAATAAAAGGAGAGCAATAGGTCAATTAGGTCAATGGAGAGAAATTCAAAGTCAAATGGAGAGTAGTTTGTCTCTTTATTTTTTCTTTTGGATGGGAGACTCACGTCTTTTCTTTTTCTTTTTCTCCTCCCCCTCTCCCTCCTCCTTTTCCTTCTTCCTCTTCTTCCCCGCACCTGAAAAAGCTGAGGCTAAGAGAGATTAAGCCATTTTCTGTGGTTGCATAGTTTTTAAACACATTTTATGCCAGCAGGAAGAACCTAGTGTCAGTTGAGAAACAAAATATAAAGAGAAGTGATTTTAGCTTGACCCTTTTTGTGAGCGTGGGTTTAGCAAGTGAGACTCACAGCACAGAAATTTGAAGTTCCAAACAGGCCCACATGTTAGAAATTTGACAGGAGTAGAAGAGAGATTATGATGATGTAGTCTGGTCATGTAATAGCTAATTTTAATTGAGTACTTACTATTTGCCAAGCACTGACTTAAGCACTTTACCTGCATTATCTCTCTCTCTCTCTTTTTTTTTTCTTACTTTTTTTTTTGTTGTTAGAGTCAGGGTCTCACTCTGTCACTCAGGCTAGAGTACAGTGGTGCAATCACAGCTCACTGTAACCTCAAACTCCTGGGCTCAAGCAATCCTCCCACCTCAGCCTCCCAAGTAGCTAGGACTACAGATGTGCACCACCATGCCCAGCTAATTTTTTTTTTTTTTTTTTTTTTTTTTTTTTTGAGAAGGAGTCTGGCTCTGTCGCCCGGGCTGGAGTGCAGTGGCCAGATCTCAGCTCACTGCAAGCTCTGCCTTCCGGATTTACGCCATTCTCCTGCCTCAGCCTCCCGAGTAGCTGGGAACACAGACGCCCGCCACCTCGCCCGGCTAGTTTTTTGTATTTTTTAGTAGAGACGGGGTTTCACCGTGTTAGCCAGGATGGTCTCGATCTCCTGACCTCATGATCCGCCCGTCTCGGCCTCCCAAAGTGCTGGGATTACAGGCTTGAGCCACCGCGCCCGGCTGCCCAGCTAATTTTTACTTTTTTTTTTTTTTTTTTTTGTAGAGACAGGATCTCGCTATATTCCCCAGGCTGGTATTGAACTCCTAGCCTCAAGTAATCCTTCTGCATCAGCCTCTCAAAATGCTGGGACTACAGGCGTGAGCCACCATGCCCAGCCTGCATTATCTCATTTAATTCCCACAACAACCCTATGATGTAGGTATTGTTATTGCCTTCATTTAACAGATGCAAAAACTGAAGCACAGAAAAATTTGATGATTTGCTGAAGGCCACATAGTTACTGCATGCTGGATATTTCAGAGCCTTCAAGTGTCCCTTTAGAGGAGGAAACTGAGACTGAGGGAGGTGAAGTCATTTGTCCAAGAACCCGTATCTAGTAAGTGCTGGAATTGTAATTCAAACCCAGGCTCTGTCTGGTACCAAAGCCACCAGTAATCACTACACTGTCATGAATAGAAGCTATTAAAATAGAGAATATGTGTGTATTTTTCTCGACCCAGCTCTGTAAGGCTAAATGTTCCCTGAATTTAGATGATGGTAAGAATTTGCCCTATTCCATAAAATTGATAGTGAGAGCATGTGCTTCCTTGGTAATGCCCCATATGGTATAGTGCAACCAGGATATTTGTAGAAAGCCTCATGGTAAAAGCAGAGACTGAGAAAAACAGAGCTACACACGCAGAGTGACAATAGCTGAGTTCTCATGTGACTTCTTCAGGTGGCTCCCTGACATAAGATTTACTTCATCATCCTTCCATGAAGAGAATGCTCTGTGAAGGAGAAAGTCCCTGGCTCAGATGCCTTTCTAGGATTTCCTAACAAGCTGTTCTGATACCACCAGCCCAAGTTCATAGACTATATGCATTATCCTCGTTGTGAAGTATCATCATGTAGCGAAGAGCATGAGCTGAGAAGACCAGTTTAATTGCTATCTGCTCAGAGATGACTGGCTTTCCAGTGAGAACAATGTGTGCAGCATGCAGAGGCCAAAATCCGTGCTATTATCCTCACTTGTCACTGCCAGGGCTTTTATCGGGTGATTGGTTTTTGAAATATAGCTTGATACTAGTCTTCAGATTTGGAATATTACTAATGTTTAATCAGAACATTATTTTTCTTTTCAGAGCACGAGTGGAAGTTTATTAAAAAGCTTTAGAGCAGGAAAGAAAGGAAAGCGCACTTCGAAGAGATCCAAGTGGGTCATTTGAAGAACAAGTGCCCCGTTTAACCATGATCCTAGGACTTTATAGGCTGGCCTACCTCCGGTGTCTTGCGTCGCTTTCCCAAGTTTCTTCCCTTAGGGTGGGCTGCCTGCATGCACAGTGCCCTCTTTACCCTTGGGAAGTGAGTATGTGCAGTGTGTTTAGGAAGTTGTACACTTGAGAACATTATCATTCTTAATTCAGGGATACAATTTACAAGGTTCTGCTGTCTTCTTAGCTTTGGTTCTATTACACCCAAAGAGCAGTTTGTGTGTGTGGTATGTATGCATGCATGTGTGTGTGTGTGAACTCTATCCAATTTTATAAAATCTCTTCTAGGTCTATTTTTTCTGTGACCAATAAGTTCACAGAAAGAGAATGTATGTGGTATACAGTAAACCGAATGGGAAGTCACACTACATGTACATTCTACATGTACATACTGGTACATACTGAGTGTTGCTAGGTACCAGGAGCTATGTGAGATAAAAAGTTGTATAATGGTCAGGCATGGTGGCTCACCCATGTAATCCCAGCACTTTGGAAGGCCAAGGTGGAAGGATCCCTTGAGCTCAGGAGTTCAAGACCAGCCTGGGCAACATAGTGAGACCCTGTCTTTACCAAAAAAATAAAATAAAAAAATAAAAATAAAGTTGTATAAGATACAGTTCTTGCCGTCAAAGAGCTTATTCTACATTTCCTCCATTGAGCAGATGATAATGGTACCTGGCTTCCTAATTCCCTGGTGGTTCCCATGCTTGGTTGATTTGTCTTTCATTAGCAGCATAGCCTAGGAAGACCATTAATCCTAACATAGTGAAATCAAATTTAATATTTTGATAGCAAGAAATGATAAGATAATAATATTCCATTGAGAGTGCAGAGAGGCAAGTGGGAACACACAGTAAGATTCCCAGGAGGTGATATGTTCTGGACAAAGTTGAGATAGTTGCATGGCCCAGTGAAAAGAGAAAATAACTTCAAGAGTCAAGTTAACCTTTCAACCAGAAGTGTGCCCCTTCTTTGGTGACAGGTAGGGACAAATGCTTATAGGAGAAAGCTAAAGGAATAAATTTTCTTCACTACCTTTCTTCCACATAGAAAGCTCTTTTTGCTTTGCCTGTGAATTCTGGGAGAACAAGAGGCTGTGGTTGTAGAATGAGGCAATAAAAGATGACAGACCACTGGTTTTCCAGAGAGCAGAGCAAACCGAAGGGAAGATGGAGGCACTGATAGCCTTAACAACAACTGAATAAATAAAGCACTTTCCCTGGAAAAATATATGTATAAAATATTCAGCTGGCATTAAATATTAAAAATGAATTAATGAAAACACCCAAAACACTTTATTTATGTAGGAATTTTTGCCCCTTTAAAAAATGCTGTTTTAAATCTCAGCATCACTTCAGATGTGATCTAGGCAGAAGGTAGTGTGGCCTCCGGAGGGGTAAGTACTATAAGAATGATGATGAATGGAAGTAACCTCCAAGTGAGCCTCCTGTGACCTCCTGCCGATTCACTGTGGTAAGAAGGGTCCAATTTTTATTCTATGATTGAGAGATTGCTAGGTGACAGATGCTCCTAGGGAGATCCAGTATTTCCCAGCCCCTGTACATATGTTGAAAGGGTGAGGAAAATTAAAGTCATTTGCACCTGATTCTGACACCATGCATCTCCCTTCCCTTCTTGGGGGTTCTGATGGGGAGGAATTAACACCTTCCACCTGGCATTGCCTCTGACTAGCTTTGTGTGCTCCTGTGGGTTATTATGTTGGTTGGTACTTTGGCTTCTTTGGCTCCCAGCACCAGCTGATGCCCTGATCTGAGTCCCAGTTGGGCAGGCTCTATTGCTCAGTGCTGTAGCTGTCTCCAGGGCATTGTTCTTGAGACTTCCAACAGGGCAGATTTGTGCAGTTGGCCCATCTGGACAAGATCTATAACAAGTAGAGCTCTGTGCAATAAGCTCATCTCCATAGTTCACCCTCCCTGCTACCCCCGCCTTCGGGCTGCAGCAGCCTGACACCCCAGCCCCTCCATGGAGAGTATCAAAGAGATGCTCTCTGCTCCTTTCAAAGGAGTATTGCTTGTGGCCTCTCATTGATTGGCACTACCTGGGCAGAAATAGGAAAACAGGGGTTTTCTGCCCTTCTCAATTCAATCTGCTCTCTTATGCCAGTTATTTTGTTTTAAATATCCTTGGCACCAGAGTTATAATACTGCCAATAAAAATAATTTCTGGACCAGCTACCCTGGTCAGCTCAGAATGCTCTTCTCAAAACTAAGAGACAGGCAAGAGGACTATCTCAGTGAACAGGAAAGAGCAGACAAGCGCAATAGGAAAAGGGATAAAGACAAAGTCAAGCTGTTGGTTTGATTATAGGATTTGCTTTCACCATTGGATTTATTGACTTTCAATTTGGATCACCATATGGAGGGAGGGAGGGAAGGAGAAAGAGAGAGAGAAAAGGAGAGAGAGAGAAAGAGAGAAGCAGAGAGAGAGATTGGACTTATGTGCTTAATTATTCTAGGTTCAGGGAAAAGGACAAGATGTCTAAGAGATCATTTGATCACTTCTTTCTTCCAGTGTCAGTTCCATAGTTTAATCTCTCCTGTTCCAGTTGCTCACAGTTGGTCACTTCAAAGGTCTCAGTGTGCCAGGCACATGCTTCCGCATGTCCCAGTGGTATGTCAGGCCTGAAGTGGGCTTTTCCACACCAACCCTCTCCATTCTGGCATTTCTGGTAGCTTCAACTGACTTCTACACCTACTAACTGCTTCTCTTTGTGGAGCAAGAAGGGTGAAGAAGCAACTCTGAATTATGGCTCTTTAACTTCTACAACTGCTACCCTGATGTTGGTCAAATCAATGTTGATCTAGTATAGGGGTCCTCTACATGCCTAGTTCCTCCCCAGGAAACTTGAAGCCCATTCTATCCTTAACAAGGTTGCAGTGGCACCATTTACTCACCAAAAGGAGATGAAGGACCGGTTGGAAATCAGGGGCCCTGGAAAATAGAGACTTTGGAGAGAAAGAAGAAACAAATGAAAGCCCAGCCAGCAAAAGACACTCTGTGAATAGTTTCTCTATGCTACTCCTCCTGGGTTCCACTACCTTGGAGCTCACTTTTCTCGAAAGTTTTCTAGCATCATCAAGTAAGTTTCTTAAAGAACAAGTATTCTCTTTTTACACTCCCCAGCTGTCCAACAGACCCTGCCACCATGCTAGTTAATTAGGAAACGGAACGAATATTTCTGAGACCAGAATGTTCTGGTGGACCTGGAAGGGTAGTCTTTTTGAGAGCCCAAAGTCTCTACCCCAATTCTGACAGTAATTTCTGGACCAGCTACCCTGGTCAGTTCAGAATGCTCTCCTCAAAACTAAGAGACAGACAAGAGGAATATCTCAGTGAACAGGAAAGAGCAGACAAGCGCCATAGGAAAAGGGATAAAGACAAAGTGTGGGGCTTCCCAAGAGCCCCTCTCTGTTGGGGCTGAACACCTCTCTGTTGGGCCATATAGTCGCTAGCCCAGTGCAGCCTATGACTGTTCCAACCTTGTCAAGAGCTGGGGAACCTGTGGCTTTGCCTTCCTCTCACTGCGCGGAAACCTGACTGGGCCCCACAGGGCGGTACTTGTGGACAGGAAAAACTCCCCATTTGAATCTGCAGCAGGAGGGACAGAGGACAGAGTAATGGCCAGGCTCTGGATGGGAGGTAGCAGGGGGAGAAGTGGTGCAGATTAAGATGACAAATGCCAGAATCTAGTAGCAGTGTTCTGAATATTCTCCACTGGAGTATTGGAAAACAGAGAGGCTCCAGCAAGAGAATAAGGTCATCCTGGCCCCAGGAATGTGGCCAAACCTTAGTCTCATGAGAAATGGGAAAGTATGGAGAAAATATGGACTAGGGTAGATATGCCATCTTTTTAAGTACAGCCGCCATTGGCACCATGCAGTATAGGCCCACATAGCTTTGGGACTGGTAGTTGAAGTTCTGAGTGGGAGATCAGGAAGAAACTGTCCAAGCCCTAATGGAGTCTAATTGAGGGAGAAAGCCCACCCAGGAGGAAGCAGGAGGCCAGCAGCAGGACTCTATAGCTCCCACCCTATTCACAGAGCCTGGTGGATATCTTCTGACCGTAGCACTTTATAGACAACCCAGTAGAAGATATTGAAGATGAGGAAAGTGAAAGGGAAGACAGCCCGGGAGATGGTGTCAATTCTCTTGGCTCGGTCCACGTAGAGTTTCCGCATGGTTTCTCCTTCCCTTAGAAGAGGGGCTGGAGGTTGGGGACTATAAATGCCAGAACCTTCCATTGGACCTCCATCTCTTGCCTGCAGGCAGTGGCCCAAGCCATAGCCATGGAAATAGAAACGACTTTCTTGGATGATATCTTCCTCCTGGAATTACAAGGAAGAAAAGGCAGAATTTGAGGTCAAAGCTCAAAGGCAGAGGGATAGAGAACAGACCACACATCAATATCTCATAGGGGATGTTATGCAGACAAGGTGCCTAGGGTACACAGGCCCACTACATGCTTTTTATGGTCACAACACTAGTCATGAGATAGATGTATGCTAAGCAGCTATACGTGCTACATATGGTGTATGTTATGATTCCATTGCAGATAGGCTCCAAGCCACCCATGTAAAATGCAAAACATCATTTAGAGCCATCTAAAATCCAGCGAAGTGCCAGCCGCTGTGAGAGGACATCTCAATATCAAGTTATCTCTGACTGGTAATAAACAAAACAACAAAACTATTAGATAGTGAAGCTGAGTCTTAGTAAACTCGACTTTAATGACTTTCAAAAGCTTCAGAATTCATTCCCCTTTTGTATCGTATCTTTGAAAATTTATCTCAATTTACAACTGAAAATTCCAAAAGTTTTAAATAACCCAATGAGTTATCCAAATTAGGATAAAGCTGATCACTTTATTGCAGATATGTGTGCTACTCTGCAAATCAGCAAATTTGACACAGGGGTCAGTACAAACAGGGTAATTTTTATTACCCAAGGCACATTCCATTCATATATAATGTGTGCATTATGACAAACAGATGCCCAGTGAGGGGTAAATTTTATATAAGCACTAAGTAATGAGGCAGACTGCCAAAAGTCCATTTTCCAATAGTTAGCTGACAACCTTCAGTAGCTAAACACAGCTGGGAGCCAGGAAGTAGGGACAGAAAGATAAAGTTGAGAGAGAAAGACAGAGAGAGAGAGAGAGAACCAAAACCTCTGAGTGTCAATAGAGGGAGCTTTACTTATATGAGGCCCTCAGGCCCCCATTCACAGCCTATTTAGTCTTATTTTATATGCAACCCTAACAAACCTAATTTTATTTACTTCTAAAGGACAGAGTTGAGAAATCCTTCCTTCAAAGATGGTGGTAATTTCTTAAAGTATTCATGGTTTTAGAGTCAAAATTTCAGGTATGTAAGAAATCACCTGAAGTGCAATGGCCCCTTGGAGGACGATGCAAACTGTCATTTCAGTTTGTCCAGGACGGAAAGGGTTCCTGAGACTTGGGTCTTTCAGGGCTGAAACTGGGGAAGTGCAAGGCAAATTAGGAAGAGTTGGTCATCCTATGGCTACCTGAGGTATTTATTATAAATTATAAGAAAAAGATATGCGTATATTGTATAGGTATGACATAGATATATGCAAAATGTGGATAAAGTAGATTTTAAACACTCTGTCCCTCTCAGTTAGAGGGACACCACAGGGTCTTTATCATGGGCCCTCTGCAGCTATAGCAACACATTGAAAAATGGCTTTGCCAGGCACGGTGGCTCACACCTGTAATCCCAACGCTTTTGGAGCCCGAAGCGGGCAGATCACGAGGTCAGGAGTTCAAGAACAGCCTGACCAATATGGTGAAACCCCTTCTCTACTATAAATACAAAAATTAGCTGGGCATGGTGGCAGGCACCTGTAATCCCAGCTACTCAGTAGGCTGAGGAATCGCTGGAACCTGGGAGGCGGAGGTTGCAGTGAGTGCAGATCACGCCATTGCACTCTAGCCTGGGTGACAGAGCGAGACTCCATCTCAAAAAAAAAAAAAAAAGAAAAGTGGCTTTGTGTATGAGATGTTGGTGTTACAGGTCCTAGTAACCCTTGATGATGACATGACTAGAAGCTGACCTGTCATCATAAAGACAGGCCTTGGTTCACCTCATATGTATTCTGTAATTCATTTTTACACTATTCTGACAGGGGAGGTTGTGCTGGACCCATTTTCGAGGTGAAGAACCAGAGGCAAACAAAATATTTTGCAATAATTTTAAAATGAGGGGAGTAAGTAAAATGGTTTTCTCCCTTGATTTCCAGTTCAGGGTCCTTCAGATAACCCTGTTCCCCAGTACTCAACCTGATTCCCTGAGCCCCACCCCGGCTAGAGGATGTAAGCAAAAGATGTTGGCAAAAAAGCTCTGAGGGGGAAAGTTGGATCCAACTGCTATTTCTGTTTCTATAGATCCAACTACTTTCCCTTTTCTCCAATCATAGTAAGTCTAAAGGGAATTATCTGGACACATTTCCCAGGCTGGAAAAAGCCATTTCACACGGGAGAGAAAATACGGCCAATAGAGTAAGCTGCTCTTGGCTTTTTATGATATTAACATATTGTACCTGTTGTAGCTGGGGGAGCAAAGATGAGTGGCTTGAAATCCAGGGGTGGGGCATCCTGCATTTGGGTATTCTCTCTTTAGGCCAAATTCTGAGGGGTGTTTGTGTGTGGTGTGTGTGTGCTGGAAAGGGACATTGGAACCTTAAATACCACTTTGTGGCTTACATACCTATTAAAATAGAACTTTTTTTTTTTTCCTGGCTATCTGTAGGGGAGAAGGACTGAGAAGCTAGAGAGGGAAGATATCTCATAACCATGCTAAGGAGGGAATACACAGTGTAGGAGATAAAGTGTGGAGATGGGAAAGAGTGATATGTATTGAAGTGAGAGGGGCTAGAAAAAAGGAGATTACAGAATGGGGAAGGAAGAGGGTGCTGGAGGATGAAGAGAGGTGGGCAGCGTTCTGGGACCAAGCCCTTGAGAGGACTGGGAAGTATTTTGAAATTTCTTCCAGTTATCAAATTATTCTATTGATCATGACAAAGCTTTTGCTCTGTCCAGTTTGAGAGACAGTCCTCTCCAATCAGCCTGTGAAAGCTGGTGAGCTGGGTTACGTGACTGCTGTGGCCAGAGCCTGGTGCTAAGACCTGCTGAGGAAATGAAAAAGGGCTTCCCTTTCCTGGGGAAGTTTACGGACTAGCTGGGAAGGCAGTGCAGGATCGCATGGGTAAACAGTAAACCACTTTAGGCAGTGACATGAAAGGGAGCCACCATGCTATGGAGTTGTTGGTTGAGGAGAGAGTTGAGAGGAAAAGACGTGAATGGCTGGCTGGCTCCTAGAACACTCCTAACTGACTCTCGGCTAAGGGTTACCTGGAGATCACATGGATTTTCTCCCTGCCCTCTCAGACTGAAGAATTCTTTTTCTCTAGCTGGAACAGTAGGGCCCAGACAGAGGTTCTATAAATGGATGAACTCTCCATCAATTTTTTCAGCCTACTTGGTGCCTCCAAAATTCCTGCTACAGGTCCTGGGATAGCAGTGACTTTAGAAGACTCAAAAAAGGACATGATGAATGGCACGGGTTTGATTTTCAGTTTTATTCACATTAATAATAAGCCTCAACCCACTTTCAGGCAGGCCCCAGAGTCCTAAGCAAGGCCCAGGCTGCTGTTGTAACTTTGTAATAATTGAGCACTGGTCATGACAGACGCCATTATGAGCTCAGGATCAGCCTATATATATGAGCAGGAGGGGACAGGCTGTAGGCAGTTGCAGGTTGCAGGAGTTCAGGAAAGGAGGTGGGACTAGTGTCAACCTGGAGTAGCTCTACAGTAACAATGGCAGCCTTTTTGTTGCTGGGACATACATACAGGCAACTTAGCTGGTGAAAGGACTCTGGATTGGTTGGCAGTCTGCTTTTTTTTTTTCCCAAGGTAGGCATTGAGAAGGCACCAAGATCAAAACTCCTATAAAGATAAGATTTTGGTACCTGCAGGCAGATTTGTTCGACACAGCTAAAGAGGGGGTGGGGACAGTTAGCTTAGAAAATGGAGTGTCCTTTTCTTGCCCTTCTGCTAGGTGTGTGTGTGTGTGTGTATATATATATATATATATATATATATATATATATTTTTTTTTTTTTTTTTTTTTTTTTTTTTTTTTTCCTAACCCTTGGTATGGGTTAGGAAATGCTTTTAGGTTTCTTGAAGAATGAGTCCTACTCGAGGACATGTAGTTGTGGATTAGTCCACTAGAGGGCATACTGCCCAGGGACCAACTAAAGGACTAAAGGGCAGGGACTGATAAATTTAAACCACTAGATGAGACAGGAGCCCTACCCTCAGCAGAAAGGGACCTTAGCAAGGGACATGAAACCAAGGCTGTAGTTTGTGAGATATTTTTAGTGCGGACATATGGTAGGGGTGCCCCTGGAGCAGCTGAGGTGGAAGGTGGTGTGTTAGGAGGAGAGAACAGTCCTTGTGCTAGTGTGGCCCAGACAAGCTAGAGTCAGGATTTTAACAGTGGGTTCAAAGCATTGTTTCCCATCCCCCAGAGGTCATTATGCTCTTGCCTCTCTGGCTTTAGAGCCTCCAGACTAGACAGAAAACATGGAGTCAGAGCTGAAGACAGACCAGAACTCTGTGTCTCTAATGATTAAACGACCAGTAGGTAGCTCAGCAAGCCTTTCAGCTTTGCTCATAATTGGACACTTGCTTCTGTGAGGCTGGCCCAGGCACCTCTGTTGTCATGACAACTTACCTAGCACCTATTGTCTGGGCAATTGGGGGTAAACTGCCTCTGTTGTCATGACGACAAGATTTCTTTTATATTTCCCCAGGTGATCACTTTACTGTAGAAGAAATGAGGTTAACAGAAAAGAGTGAGGAAGAACAACAACCCAAGCCCAACAACTCTAATGAACCCAATGAAGATCAAGAAGAAGAAATCCAACAGTCAGAACAGGCAAGTGGTGGTTTCTCAATTCCAACTTAGTTATGGGGGCCCTCTTATAATGCTCCCCTAGAAAGGCACCAATGCCTGACTGTTGAATTCTTAACTACCAATTAGTGTATGACAACCTGGGCTACCTTCCTCCAGGTTGTGGGGGGAGCAGTTACTACTTCTCAAAGCAATCTCTTTTTATTTATTTATTTATTTATTTTTATTTTTATTTTTATTTTTTTTGAGACGGAGTCTCACTCTGTCACCCAGGCTGGATTGCAGTGGTGATTGCAGCTCACTGCAACCTCCACCTCCCAGGTTCAAGCGATTCTCCTGCCTCAGCCTTCTGAGTAGCTGGGATTACAGGTGCCCGCCACCATACCCGGCTAATTTTTGTATTTTTAGTAGAGACGAAGTTTCACCATGTTGGTCAGACTGGTCTTGAACTCCTAACCTCGTGATCCACCCGCCTTGGCCTCCCAAAGTGCTGGGATTACAGGCGCGAGCCACTGCACCCAGGGTTTCTGATTGCCTGTCTAGTCCTTGCAGCTCTGGGGTGGGTCTTGGTTTGTGGGGAGGAGGAGTAGGGAGAAAGGAGTCCAAAGGAGAAAGGCAGTGGGCCCCTCCCTAGTTGTACTCACCATGCGTTGGCGCCTCTGCCTTCTTCGAAGTCGTATGAATTCTTTATGCTGACGAGAAACAAAATTGACAGCAGCATACTCCAGCAAGGCAGCGAACACAAAGAGCAGACACACAGCCATCCAGATGTCGATTGCCTTCACGTAGGACACCTGCAACATCCAACGACAGAACTATCAACCTTCTTGAAGTCCTTCCATGGCCTACTGAGTCGATTTCCAACCCCTATCGATTGCCTGCTCTTTTTGAACTTTATCCTGAATTTTTTCTGGTGTTTAAAGAAGCTTTCCACGACATATCCCATCGTCTGAAAGCCCAGATGGAAAAGATAGGACTGCCCATCATACTCCACCTCTTTGCACTCTTCATACTCTACCTCTACAAGTTTTTCCTTCCTACAATTCTTTCCCTTTCTTTCTTTATTCTTCTTGAACTTTTGCTTCTGCTTTTTATTATTGTCTTCATTCTGAGCTTCTTTTGATTCTTTTCTTTCAATAAACAGTAATGAGCATGAACACTGCATTTGTCTTCCCTCTGTTATCTCCTAGGGTCCTCACAGCCTCAGTGGTAATTGGTCAGGCAGCGTTCACAATACCGATGTGAGACACATGAGGACACTTAAGGCCCAGAGCAGATTAGCCAAGATTACCCAGTGAGAAGGTGGCACTAGGACCTGGATGTTCTGGGCTTTCAATTCAGTGGCATTGCCATTTTACTTAGGCTGCGGTCTCACTGACAGACTGGGAGTTCCTTCCTCCACCCCTGTTCTTCCCCTGGTCTTGTGGTTTTCCTTGTTGCTCTTTTGGAAAGGCTTTGCTGATGAATTTGGCTCAGTAGTGAGCTGGGGCCTCATCTCTCACCCTGGAGAGAACAGGGCAGGGATCCTGAGGGAACACCACCCACCCCTTTAAGGATGCTTTGCTAGTTGCAAGATGTGGTTGGCATCCACCTATCCAGTCCCTTGTACTCTCCCCTCACTACTTTCCTTGGCAGCCTCCAAATACTTTTGTCTCCCACTTTCTGGCCTCTTCCAGGCATTGCAGATGGGTGGGGCCAGGAGTGAGGGACAGAGCTCAGGTTTAGATCTTTTCATCTCCTCAACCAAATTACCTGCTACATAGCTTTCAGCTGCTGAGCTCACCACATAGGACACCCCAGCAAGAACAGAATTTCGGACAAGGCACTTCTTTAATCAGCCGCTGCTATGATGGGAAGTGAGAGTGCTGCAGATCCCAGGTAAGGAGCAAGTTTCACTGTATAAAATAAATCCTCTACCTCAGTGATTCTTAACTGGGGACAACTCTGCCCCCCGCCAGGGACATCTGGTAATATTTGGAGACATTTTTGGTGGCACAATTTTGCAAGAGGTGGTGGCTACTGGCATCTAATGGGTACAGGCCAGGGATTCTGCTAAACATTCTACAGTACACAGCTCCCTGCCTGGCCTTCAACACACAGACATGCACACACAGAGACACACATACAGGCACATACAGACACAGACACACATACAGACACAGACACACACACATGCACGCACACAACAAAGAATTATCTGGCCCCAAATGGCAAGAGTGCTAAGGGTGAAAAACCCTGCTCTAACTCTTTTAGGGCAATGTCACTGAGATGGTGGCAGTGGGTTACTAGACACCCCTGATGAAGCATCCCTTGGTGTCTCCATTTTGCCACTTTGCCACTTACTAAGAGGGCATCCTATTTCATTCACCATCCCTCAGTCTGACAGTGCCCCCAAGGATATCAAATACCTGCAAGATCAATAATGAGGTAATTACTCATCATTATAAAAGGATGGCCATGAAGGTCCTTAGACCATCAAAGGAAAAGACACTTTAAGCACTAGGAAGAAAGTCCTGTTAATGATAAGTGTGTCAATAATACATCTCGAAAATCTTGGCTGGGCGTGGTGGCTCATGCCTGTAATCCCAGCACTTTGGGAGTCTGAGAGGCAGATCACTTGAGCCCAGTGGTTTGAGATCAGCCTGGCCAACACAGCCAAAACCCATCTCTACTAAAAACACAAAAAATTAGCTGGGTGTGGTGGTGCATGCCTGTAATCCAAGCTGCTAGGGAGGCTGAGGTGGGAGAATTGCTTGAACCCGGGAGGCAGAGGTTGCAATGAACTGAGATCGTGCCACTGCACTCCAGCCTGGGCAACAGAGTGAGACTCTGTCTAAAAAACAAAAACAAAAACAAACAAAAACTCAGGAATCTGTCCACTCACTATCCTGGCACATCTGAAGGGTTGCAAGTTTTCTGAATGGTCTCCTTGCATCTACTCTTGCCACCTCCAATCTGTTCTCCAAACAGCAGCCAGAGTTGTTTTCAAAATGTAAATCTGATTATATCACTCCCCTTCATGATCCTTCAGTGGTTCTCCATTACCCTTATAATACAGTCTATGCTCCCTTATCATGATATCTAGCCTTTGCCTACCTGTTCATTTCATCACACCCCTTGTAATCTGCTGTGGTAAACTATTTCTGTAGTTTCCCAAAGAGCCAATCTCTATCCTTTTTCTCATTTACCTGGATAACTTTTACTTATCCTTCAGCTTTCACTTTAGATACCACATCCCCTGGGAAGCCTTCCCTAATCATCCCAGTCTGTGTTGGTTGTCCTGCTATATGTGCTCAGGTTACCTACAACTTCTTAGCATCCATCACATACCTGGCCATTCCCTCAACTAGACTGTGAGCTCTTCGATGGCACAGACTGTTTCTATCTCAATCACTGTTCTGCTTCCAATGCCTAGCTGAGTTTCTGGCCTATAGTAAATATGTTTTTGAATGAATGAACAGATAGACGGTTTAGCAACATGTGATGTGCATATCTGCTGGTTTCTGCTTGCTGTCTACCCTCTTTACCACTACCTGCCCCAATAGCTGTAGGCCATTGAGATGATAGGGTCTAGACAGAAGTGGCTCCTTCCCTGCTGCAACTTTAGGTCTAATCTCCTAGCCTCTGGAAGAAACTTCCATTTAGTCCTTCCATCCTGCTTTGAGTTCCCTGCAGTTGAGGGGATCAAAGGCTCAGCAAAGAGATGGTAATCAGTGCCTTTGGTGGCACCATAAAGGCAAAGTAACAGTTGTTTCCTGGGAACATGAGGAATGGTCACCCCAACTGAGTTCCCTTACAAAGTAAGCCTCTGCCACTCTCATTCTGGACACTAGAGTTGTATTAGGGGGTGTGAGATTGGTGTGGCTTTTGGAAGCCCCTAGACTGACCTCATGCGGCCCCCACCAAACTTAATGTTACACAAACTCAAGAGTGAGCAGGTAGTCCCTGGCTTACTGAGTCCCTTGCTCTGAGGGGCTGGATAATGAGGCTATTTAGTTCAGGGTGCAGGCTTGGATATTTTGCTTACTGGCCAATGAGGCCATAAAGAAGTCATTAAAATTTGACAAGAAGGTACCAAATGCTGCAAACAACCCTCCAACAAAGACTGTTTTTTCCAAATAAGGAAACTAAGTGATTCCTGGGAGCAGATGGATCATGTTCACTCACAGGAGGGAACCAGAAAAGGAAGTTCTCTTGGCAAGAATAAGGCATAAATTTCAGTACCTCCCTGCTTTAGAGATGAATCACCTTGTGTGGCAGAGGTAATAAACTAGGGCAGGGTTCTTAGGTCTGAACTACTTTTCTGCTTCTGGTCTCCTTACAAGACCATTATCAAAACACGACCATCACAGCCTGGTCTGACCGTGTAGCCCTTGCCTAACTCCAGCCTGCCTCTCAGAGCCTTGTCAATATCCCTGTCCATCTAGGAAACACATTTACAGAAAATGATCTCTAACAGCGTTTCCTGGGACATGTGATTCTGATCTGAGTTTCGTCACCACTTATCCCTATAGGGCTTTGGACCACCTCAAAGGGTTTCTGACAACTCAAAAATAATTAGGGACGATACCAGCTGCTTTAGCCCCAGATTCATCACTCAGTTTTTTCAACCCTGACACCTGATAATTATAACAATAGTTAACATTTATTGAGCGATTATTATGTGCCAAACACTGTCCTGTGTGTTAATATATTATATTTTGCAATAACCCTATGGAACTGGTAATATTCTTTTTTTTTCTCTCTCTCTCTCTCTCTCGAGACAGAGTCTTGCTCTGTTGCCCAGGCTGGAGTGCAGTGGTGCATCGGCTCAGTGCAACCTCCGCCTCCCAGGTTCAAGCGATTTTTCTGCCTCAGCCTCACAAGTAGCTGGGATTTTAAGCACACGCCACCACACCCAGCAAAATTTTTTTTTGTATTCTTAGTAGAGATGGAGTTTCACCATGTTGGCCAGGCTGGTCTCGCACTCTTGTCCATGTGATCCGCCTGCCTCGGCCTCTCAAAGTGCTGGGATCACAGGCGTGAGCCACCGCACCCAGCCGGAACTGGTAATATTCTTATTCCCATGTTACAGGCAAGATGATTGAGAGGTTAAGGAATTTACCTAAGGTAAATTATTAGTAGATGATGAGCTTGGGAGACAAACCCAAATCTGCTGATCCCAATCTCCTATTCCTAATCACTACCCTACTCCCAGCCATGTAGCACATTCATAAATTCACCATGGATGTGTGAAATTACCTGCTGTGTAAGCCCCCAGTAAAAAGTCTTCTTAGGAACAAGCACTGAGAGATGGGAGATCATAGGGCCTGGTTCCCAACAAATCAGTGCAAGAGGGAATATATTCATTGTAAGATCCACAAGGAACTGTGTTGCTTTTGCTTCCTGTTATTTCTTTTTTTTTTTTTTTTTTTCTTGAGACAGAGTCTCGATGTGTCGCCCAGGTTGGAGTGCAGTGGCCGGATCTCAGCTCACTGCAAGCTCTGCCTCCCGGGTTTAGGCCATTCTTCTGCCTCAGCCTCCCGAGTAGCTGGGACTACAGACGCCTGCCACCTTGCCCGGCTAGTTTTTTGTATTTTTTAGTAGAGACGGGGTTTCACCGTGTTAGCCAGGATGGTCTCGATCTCCTGACCTTGTGATCCGCCTGTCTCGGCCTCCCAAAGTGCTGGGATTACAGGCTTGAGCCACCGCGCCCGGCACTTCCTGTTATTTCTACATGACAAAGTTCAGTGGCTGGTACATAGTACATGCTCAATAAATATTTATTGAATGAATAAATGGCATTGCTCCCTGATTTGTTCAGAGCTTTGCTGACTGTAAGGACTTTGAGGTGACCTCTAAATTCCCTACATGAAGACATGAGACAGGGAGAATCTGTGCCCAGTCCCATCAGCACAAATCTTCCTGCGTAATCAAAACATCACCGGGCCCAGACAACTGGAGTCCACTGACTTTAATTGCTATTTTCTACCTCAATTTTCTCATCCCAAAAGAATGGATACTGTCTCTAGAGCGCTTTGTGATAGTTTCTAATTTCTGATACAGTAAGACGACAGAAATTGGTTCAAAACTCTGATATTCTTTTGGTTGTTTCTTACAAGGCATGATCTTAAGAAGGTTATTTTACCACTCTGGGCTGTATTCTCCTCATCTGTATCATGAGGGAGTAGGACTTTCTACTTGCTGAGGATCTTTTGACCTTGGACACGCTAATATTTCCTGAAGAGAGTCAAAGTAAGGCACTGTCTCTCCTCATTCCCTAGGCAGATAGCATCCCTAACCCCAGCCTCCACATTGTCAACAATGTTATTAGCAGTATATTACAGGGAGAGAGAGAATGCAGGACACCAGCTCTTGCCCAGTGGGTCTTCTCAACCTTAAATCCAAGGTAAATGGTGAGCAGGAGGGCACATTGGGATGAATGGGAAATGGGGTGCTCTATGGCAAGCAAGTTCCCTTGCATGTCTCTTCACCTTAGGCAAAGAGGCCCGGGAGCCAGAGCTCTGGGTGGTCATGGTGAGCACGGTGGTGATGCCCAGGCCCACACGGGCAGGGGCAGCATCCATGTTGATCCAGAAGGAGACCCAGGACAGGATGACGATGAGTAGGCTGGGGATGTACATCTGAATCAGATAGTAGCCCATCTGCCGCTCCAGGTGAAACTTTACCTCGATGCAGGTGAATTTCCCTGCAAGGACAGAGGTGAGGAGTCAGGCCCCAGGTCCCCAGTCTGTAGCTGAGCCTAAGGGGATTAGGACAGGAAGAGGGCAGCCCTCTGCTGTCCAGCCTCTGGGCACCTCAGCTGGGCCAATGAATGAGCCTTTCATAATGGCCCCAGGCAGCGCCAGATGTATATACTAAGGAAGCTCTCAGAACGACCATCAAAGACTTGGCCTTTCGCTCCCAGCACTTTCATTTCCAGCAGAAGGCCTTTCACAAGACGGCACAGCAAGAGGATAAGGAGCAGGAGGGCTCCAGAGTCAGACTGCCTGGGTTTGAATCCTGAACCTTCCACTGTGTGACTTTGTGCTTTGAGCTTCAGTTTCCTTGACTGTAAAACAGAGTAGTGATACCAACTCCATCACTGGGCTATTGGAAAAATTAAACAAGATAATGTATTTGAGGTGTTTGACACATAGGTAGCTGTTACTATTATCATTATTAACAAAGCAATTGGCTTAGACTCCACTTAGATCTCAGCAGCCATGCTTGTGCTTGCTAGTGCCCCAGAAGCTCTCTAGCAACAACAATTCACTGGGATAAACACTGCTTGTGTCTTAAGCAAGTGAGAAGAGCCAGATAGCAAACATCTGAAAACTGCCCAACAGAGACCAGCTCCAGACTGCGGGGAGCGGGTTCCCATAGAGCATCAGGCCTTCTATTCCACCAGCAAAAAGTGCATTGGCCCAGGCACACCAACCAATGCTCCACCTCCTTTGGCAACCTTCACTTTACTCTGCTTTCCAGGGCCCTAGGGCTGAGAAAATACTAGCTCAGAGCTTCTCTTGGAAGCAGAGGCTCAGGATAATCCAAGTGAAAAGGAGAAGGTGCATATATTGTTATTTTATTCTGGCCTAGGTCTAGTCTTATCAGGCCTACTTGATTCTTCAAAGCCAGTGATTTCGTCAATGACTGATTATGGTTTTGACACATTGTATGATGCTGTGACCTCTTACTGTTCCCTGAATCCACCTCACTTCATCCCACCCCGGGATTCTTGTCATGACATGCCTTTATTAGGTACCCATATTTTCTTTCCCTTCTTTCCTTCTTCTTTTTTTTTTTTTTTTTTTGCAGTAGCAGTTTTGTTTTTAATTCCAAAATTAAAGCTTGTTTAGTATAGAAAAAATGAGAAGTAGAGAAGGGATAATAATATTCATAAGCTTATATTTATCAAACCCCTACTAAGGACCTGACTTCATATACTTTATCTCATTTAATCCTATAGCAACTCTTTGGGGCAAGTAAAATTATTATCTCTCATATTACAGATAGGAATATGGAGGCATGAAGAGATTAAGTTATGTTTCTCAAGGGCACTCGACTAGTAAATGATGGAGCCAGAATCCAAACTCAGCTCTATCTGCCTCCAAACTTCTTGCTTTTGTCTGTTGTATCACATTACTTTAGAGACATTTAGTGCTATTTCCACCCAAAGTTTTTAAATGCATGCTTTTGGTTTATTTCTTTTACCATAATATAATCATTCTGTGTTTATACCTCTGAATCTTACCTTTTTTCACTTGTACTTTCACACATTGATATAAGCACCTTGTTAACCATCCCTTTTAACGTCTGCATACTAATCCACTAAGCAGACACACTATGTAATTTACTTAACCTCTGCCCTATTGGTGGATATTTAAAACAGTTCCAAGTTTTTGCTAATATAAACAGTCACCCAGGAGCCCCCTTGGGGTCAAAGGCCAATGCAGTATTTTGGAATATTTCCATATAATACATTTCAAGGAGTAGGATTCCTGGATAAATAAGTAGAAAAACAATTTTAGCTTCTAAAGTTTCTCAAAGCATGTTCGCTGGACCACCTGCATCAGAATCCTCAAGATGCTGTTAAAATGCAGATTTCTGGGCATCACTCCAAGAATAGGTAACCATAATCAGAATCTCTGAGAGGTAGAGCCCAGGAGCCAGCATTTTAATATATTTAATATATTCCCCAGGGGAATATAATGAACACCAAAGTTTGAAAACCACTGATCTATATACAGATTGCCAACCTTTTTACTCCAAAAAGTTTGTATCAATTTTCATTCCCCCTTGTATTTTCTAAATTCAATGGCCTTTTCCTCTTCCCACTCCCCACACCCCCACATACATGCACACCCATATTCATGGGGCAGTACCCAAAACATATCAGCCCACCATGGAAGGGACGCGGGATCTCCCCTCTTCAGGCTGCTGCCTCTATTTCAGGGTCAGAGCTCCGTGCAGACAAATTGTCAGGGAAAATGTGGAGCCATCAACTCTTAGAGAAGCTGCAGGGGGGCAGATGCTCAGGCTGGGAAAGCAGCCCTTCTCCACTTCTTAGCTGACATTTCACACCTGGGAAGTTCCTGAGAGCTGGCAGTGGTGGCACAGTGGGAGGTGTGGACTGTAAGCTGGCCACTGCCCTCAGGCCTGTTCCCTCTGGGTTCAGCATAGTCACTCCCTATTACCAGATATGGATTCCCTGCTTCCCCACAAAGTTGACCCCAGGAAAAGTGGGAAACTTTACACCCACTGTCGTTTGCTCTGCAGCATGCGACAGGAACAAGAACATGGACTTTGGAGTTAGAAGGCTTGGATTTAAATTCTAAATCTGCCATTTGCTAGCTATATGACTTGGACACTTGATTTAACTAACTTCTTAGAACCTCAGTTTTCCCTTTCTGAAAAATGGTATTTATAATTGCTATCACAAATAGATAAGTTATATGAAGCACCTGGCCCCATATCTGACATAAATTGAACCTTTGATAGAGGCCAGCTGACTTGTCCCCTTGCCTCACATCTGAAGGTTCTCCTGTGGCTCACAGCCAATAAAGATCCTGGTTTTTACCTGTGTTGTAGTACTTGGTACAATAGCCTAGATCCTTCTCATCCCGCAAGATAAACTGGGGCAGAGTCAGCCCCTCAGCCACTTGGACAGCAGGAGCATCTTCCAGCCACTCAAACACGAGGTCATTCATGGTGTAGCCAACTGAAAGTGACAGAGATGGCAGAGGGCTGCAGAGTGTGGGTGTTGGGTGGGGGTAGGGGTAGGATCAGAACAGGCAGGAGAGAACAGGTGAGGAGTAAGGTCTGGGGTTTAGGAGCTTCATGCTTATCATGGAAGGGGAAACTTTTCCAGAGAGGACACTTGGTCAGTTGTCTCACGGGCCCATCCTGAGTGGGCAGGTAAATCAGGAAGACTATAGACTCCTACCCTGTTTTCAAGCTTGAGAAAAGCCCAAAGAGAAATTATTTTGGCAGACCTAGAAAGCAGGTCAAGAGGGTTGGAAAGATGTCAAGGAACCCAGCTAGGAGCCTCCTGCCATATCTCAAGCCCAGGGGAGTAAGCATGTGTACCGAACACATGTCTTAAGCTGAGCTAGCCTCAGAGCCAGAGCTTCTGTAACATCACCTCAGGGAGGAGACAGCTATTTATATCCTGCCAGTCATGCATGGGACAATGTGCATACCATAGATCCTAGCCAGGGCCTTGAGTTGGGACAAATTTAAAGCTAATATCTGAACATGCCAAGTTATTCACACATACACAGCAGTTCATGAGGGCTCATGCCACGTATATGACCATATTTGCACATGTCAGGTAGAGATGGGAGCAGAAACACCAAGGCTCACAGACATCCAGTGTTGGGCCTTGACCCAGAGTAGCTCTGTGACTTTGGATAAGTCACTTCCCCTTCTGTAAAACGGGAATTATAGTAGCTGCTCTACCCACTTTTCAGAGTTGCCATGAAGGGATATTGAGAGCCCAGGTGTGAAAGTGGTTTAAGAACTCTAAAGAGCTGACCACACAAGACACATTCTACTCATTACAGTTATTTTATACTGGAAGCAGCCCTATAAGCCTTCTTCTGGGAACATCTAGTGGATGGCTCCAGATCTAACAGTCTCCCCCGACCCAGGAGATGAGGAGGGAGTGGAAATAAGTGATGTCCCAGCCTTGTCATCCTTGGTTCCTCTGCACTTTGGGCAGCCCCTCCAGGCTGGCACCCCTGCCACAGAGGAGCCCTTGGCTGACCTCTTCATTCTAGGCACTGTCCTGTGCCTAGAACTGTCATCTCCTACCTCTCTACAAAGGTATCTGTGTTTGTGGGGAACCAGGGCTCCACGAGTGCCCCCACCCTGCCCACTTTGGCATTTTTATAGGCATCTTCAATGCCTTAACTCAAGGGAAGTAAAGGTGGAACTACTTCAGGCACTGTGAGAGGGGACATACTTTTGGGCAGAGAAGATGCCGCTCAAATCGCCCCCCAAAACAGCACAAACGCATTTGCGCGTAAGGCTGATGCCTTCCTGTTCCCCAGCCCCATGGAACAGCCAGATCAGCAAATAGTGTGGGGATGAAAAACACACTGTTCTAGGGGTTAGGGAGCCCTGGTTTCTAGTCTCATCTGTGCCAAGAACTGGCTGGGTGTGCTTGAGTAAGTTCTTCCCAACTCTGGGTAGCCCTTTTCGTCTGTGATGTCATGAGGTCGGGTTAACTCACTGTTATTCCAGGTCCTCTGTGACTCTATAGAGACACTTACAACTCTCCAGCTGCATCGTGCAGGTCTGGATGTCCATGGGGAAGTTCTTGAGGTCCATTGGGCAGGACAAAATGAGGGTCAACCTAGTGGGGACAGTAAGAAAGAAATGACTTTGGCTTACTGGGGCCCATCACAGCACAAGGGAACCCTCCTCCCACTCCTCGGTCTTCATCTAAATTCTTCTCCTGGCCATCCACCCGGTGCACCTGATGCTGTAGAGCACATTCCCATTCTTAAAGATGCGCAGTAACTTGTTGTCCGTGGTCACCTCATGGAAGTTGGCCCCTTTCTCATTGGCAAAGAACAGGTCTGGCTTCCAGATAGAGTCCAGCATGGAGGGATCGAGGTCCAGAGAGTCGTCAGGATATTCTCGGTAGGACAGGCGTGGGTCATTCCACTGTTGCCTCAAGAAGACATTTACCCGGTAGTCCTGGGAGGGTGCAGATATGGGCCCATCAGAAACATTGCCATTCCCAGGGGCCCAGCAAGCCTGTATGGGCAGGAGGGCCATGAGGAGGAGTGTTGGAAGCATATCTCGGCCAGTAGGCATTTTTCACTGGAGAAGGAGCCTTCCTTGGGCTGATATGGCAAAAGATGCCAGCTTGCTATCTGGTGGGCTCCTCCGACTCACACTAGGCTGGAAGTGGGGGGTGGGGAGATCCCTTACCATGGTGGTCTCAGTGACGGAGCCGAAACTGTTGATGAAGATGTTGCAGGTCACGTTCACGGGTGGGCCTGAGGGTAACAAAGCATAGGCCATTGGCAGGGCATTCCAGGAGGCTGGGAGCAGCTTCCAGAACTCCCTCCCTGAGCTTCAGGGCAGGGCACTGCTGGGAGAAATCAGTGCCAGCTACACACGCCCATGGGCAATGGGGTGGGGAGGCTTCTTCTGAGCTGTTAGAACTAGCCCTAGCCCAGGACCTCCAGCCTCCTTTCCTTAGGGGAGGCAATAGGGGCTGGCTGGGTAGTGTGCTGCCAAAGGTGGTGGGGAGGGAGGAGTTTTTATAGGATGAAGATTTCTTACCTTTAAAATTGGGTCGAATCCTGGCATCATACCCAGATGTTCTCCCCATAAGTTTGTCTAGGAAATCAGAGGGGGACATGGACTGGGACTCCTTGGTTCCAGATTTGACTTCCTCTTTTGCCAAGGCCACCCTGGACAGGAGAGGTAAAAAAGTCTGAGGCCAGGTATGTGCTGCATTTATCACAGACTCTCCGTTTCCATACCCCTCAGGCAGGAGGACAGAAGATGATGGGTCTCTGGGTGCCATTTGCAAAACGAGAACAAAAACAGCCATAAATCAACACGGCAGCCTACCTGTTAGTACTAGAAAAGTGTTTTCACAGACAGTAGATCTTCTTACCCTCCCAATTCTCAGTGAGATGGGGGTGAGGACTGTCATTCCCATTTTACAGATGAGAAAACTGAGGCTTCAAAAGGAGGAATGACTTGTTCAAAGTCTCAGAGCTAGTGACAGGGTCAGGACTCATACCCTAGGCTGAGGCCTCATCCAGTGTTCTCTTTCTGAAGGTACTTGGAAAACACTCAATGAGTGATGTCTTGCAGGAAATGATGTGGCTACTACAAAGTTTTGCCTGTCTAGCCTAGTCAAGGATGGGAAGGGCTCAAGGACAACTTTTATTTTTAAGAGTTGGCTTCAGTTGCTTGGGCTTTATGCTGGGCTGCTCAGGAAGTAGGACCTAGCATCTGAAGAGGGAGTTTTGGCTTCTGGCGTGTGCTCCAGCAGGAAGCTATGTTTGAGCTACGTTTTAGTTAAGGGCCATGCCACTGCAGGCAGGGGAACTAGTCTTGGTAACTATGGTGGGGAAGCAGGATTCTAGGGATGGGGAAAAGCCTCCCGGTAGGGTAGACATGCTGAGGTCAACTCCCATATTTTCCCTGCTAACAGCTTGATTTTGAGGAAGGAGCCAGTGTGCTTTGGCATAGCTTAGAAGCCAGTCCCCTTTTCCCCTAACAGGTTTCCCTCTAACAGCAGCAAAGCCCCTTCCATATGCCTACTTACCAACTTGCCAGTTAACAGATAAACTAGGGATTAGGAGCTCAGCAAAACCTTGGGGACAGGAGCAGTGCTCAGGGCCGAGCTCAGCTGGACTCCAGGCTGGGCCAGGCACCTCCTGCTCCCTCCTGCCTGCTGTCATTGCTCTATAGCCGACTCCACCACTGTCACTGCTGCTGCCACACTATGGGACTGAGCAGCGGCGTAACTGCTGTCCTGCTGGGGACTAGTCTTTTTTGAGCCAGTGGGCTCCTCTTTCCCAGTAGATCCACGTACCATCCAGTGACCGATAGAATAATAAAAATAGCTAAGGCACCATGCTAAATGCTTTACACACTCTATCTAGTTTAGTTCTCACATTAGTCCTCTCGACTAAGTATTATGATCACCCCCATTATATAAATGAGAAGACTGAGGATCAGCAAGGTGAGGTGAATGCTTCACGATCATGCAGCTAGTGAGTGGTAAAGCCAGGATTCAAATCCAGAGCTCTTGACTTCAAAACTAGCTCTATCTATCACAATTACTATGGTGCAGGCAGCCCAGGGTGGGCTGCCAAGGAGCCAAAGTAGGGGAACGTCAGTGGCAGCCCCACCCTGACCTTCTAGAGTCCTGCCTCCTTGAATGTTCTAAGCAAGAGGAAGCCCTTACCCTGGGGACAGAGGCAGGCTCTGAAAATCCGAGGAGGCTGGTGGTGGTGCTGGAGCAAGCAGAAGTCTGTGACTTCACCACAGGATGTCCACACTAGCCAGGTGCTGCTGCTGCTGGCCACCTGCCACCTGCCTGCTGGGAGGCCACATGGTCCTGCACATGGAGAAACTGGACCCTCCCCACTGTCCTCAGCCCCACTCTCAGGTCACCTCTCCTGCTAATCCTAGACCTAGTATCCTGGGACAGGCTATGGGCTTAGCAGTCTTGGGCCCCAGCCCCTGTTGCAGTTCCCTCTTCTGGAGCTAACTTGTCTGAGGACCTAAGAGCAGTCACAGTGTGCAGCCACTCCCTCCTGTCTTTCATTCCCGGAAAGTCCTAAACACCTGCAGGACCTAGGAGGATCCAGAGCTGACAATTTTTCTCATACAAGGTTCTGGGGCAGCACAGGGAGAGAACTCTAACTCTGGTGCTAGGTAGCTGAGCAACCTTGGGCAGGTCACTCCCCATCTCTAGGCCTTAGTTTCCATATGTACAATGAAGGACTTGGACTCCAGACTCTCTAAGGGCCTGTTTTGCTCTAACTGCCTCTGCTTTCCAAGTCCCAGTGGGAACGCTGTTACTGGAGCTTGGGCTTTGAGGCAGCCTCCCCTCCTGGAGGACCTGCAAGGCCCAGTGTGGTGCCCCCTTCTGCCTGCATCCTCCTGTCAACTCCAGCTGTGCTGCCATTCCACTTTGAGCTGCTTTTCACTCTTTAGAAGTGTATTGCCCTGCTCTGCATCCCTGCCTGCCTGCCAGCCAATGTGTCTGCAAACAGTGGAGCAGGAGGCTTCGCAGAGGCAAGCAGCCCTGAGACGTTTCTTGGATTAAGAGGAGGAGGAGTATGCTGTAGTGGCACTGACCCCCTCCACCTTTGGAGGCACTCCTCTTATGACCAGGTCAGCCCAGGCTACAGCCATCTTTCCTGTTCAACTCACCCTGCCAACCTAGGCTGGCTCCTGGTCTAATGAGAAAGGGGCAGTTGGTGGGGGAACATTTACAGGGAGCCCAAAGGATGTCTTTCCTGCAAGCCCAGGAAGTGACTGCTACCTTTTCCCCCTCAAGGAATAGGGAGCAACCAAGTGAGCACAAGCAGGGTGACTGCAGAAGGCCAAAGAATGTCTAGCCCAGCTCCATCCTGATGTGGTCTTGGGCCAAACCCCTGCTACTTGAAGCCTCTTGGGCTGGCAGTTGACAGATGTTTCTGTCATTTTTAGCGATCTCAGCAGTGTGTGGCCCAGATGATAGGGAAACAGGGTTAGGCGGCTGGACAGACACCCTCCATTCTGGGGCTTAGTTGCCTAACCCCTACCCAGGCCTAGGAAACCTCCACCTGTGCAGAAACATTCCCAGCATGACCGGGGCCTTGACATCTCTAATAAGAAGCTCTTGGGGTCGTAACGGTGGGCGGGGGGAGGGCGTGTCCTCCCCTGAAGCCCTCCAGACTGTGGGCTTTGTGCAAACTTAGAGGAAAGTGTGCCAGATGCCCAGGTTGCCCATTCCCCTTGGCTAGTGTTTGCATGCACCTCCTTCTCACCCCCACTCAGCTCACCTGAGGAGGACCTGCCCTGGCAGGGTCCAGAGGAGAAGGAAGGAGAGGGTTGCAGGAACAAGAGTTGTCATTCCGCGGGGATCTTGAAGCCCTTTCTCAGCCTGGCTGCCAACGTGAGAGGGGATATCCCTGCAGGAACGCCAAAAGTACAGAGCCTTTCTCCAACTTGGGCTGCTCGCAAAGAGCCTGCTCTCTCTCCTCTTCTGCCTCTTCTCCTCTGGCCCGTCTTTACCTGCCAGGGGCCAGAACTGTTCCCCTGGAAATGATCCTGACACAGATAACCCTACTGGCTTCTGCTTGGGCTTGCCTTGGGCTCCGGAGGGCCTTAGCCTGCCAGCCGGGAGCTGGAAAAGACTCTCTCTGGGCAGCAATCACTCTCTAAACCCTGAAGAGTCTTGGTGGGGAGGGAGGAGGGAGACCGGTAGGAAGATGTTTTCCTGCCTCCCACCTCCCCCAGATGCACCCTCCGAAAGCAGCAATTTAAAGGCACAGTCGGCAGCAGCTGGAGTGGGGTTCAGAGCCTGCCTGTGTGCCGGGGAGGAGCTTGGGCTGCCGTGGCTGCTTGGGGAGGGCCGGAGGTGTTCTGTCCAACCTCTAACTCCCCAGCTGCAGGAGGACATGTAAGCGGCCCTGCTCCCCCCGCCCCCCACCTCCCACCCCCGACCAGCTTTCCTTTCATCCTGGAGCCAAGCTGGAGCCCAACAGTAAAGTCCTAATGATTTTTACCAGGGGGAAAAAGACCTGAGAGGGTTTAGGCAGCGCCACCAGGTATTCTCAAGCTGACAGCTTCAGGTTAGAGAGAAAGTGAAGAGGCTGAGGGTAGGGACAGCTTTCCCCCAACTCTCTGGACAGAGGCACAGAGGATGCATGATACAGAGGAACTTGGGAACCCTCCTCAGGTGCAGTCTGTCTGTCTGTTCGTCTGTCTACCTGCCCCCATCCCACTTCACCCTTGTAGTTGTGCAGCCATTCCCCTGCCTGCTTTCCTCCCTCAGGTCGTCTCTTGGGGTCCTCTATAGCTCTCAGAATTTCTCCTCCCAGACTCTCCTTCCCCAGCCTGGCTCATGGGAAGGGACAGAGATGCAGAGCAGGGCTGGGACACATTAGGCTTTGCAGGCTTCAGAGGAATCGCAGCTGGTCAAGAGCAGTGACCTAGCGGCCCTCAGCCCTGGATGGAGGACAGAGGCAGAGGGGTGGGCTGGCCTCCTCCCTTGCCTCCTGCACATTTGCTTACAGCAACCAGGTGCTTTGGAAGCTCCATTTTCTCCTGCCTGATCCTTCCTCAAAAGTTCCAGTGTGTTATCTAAACACCTCTGAGACTTCTCCCCTCCCCCATTTCCTCTCGCTCTATCTTCTTTTTTTCACTCTACTCCTCTCTTCCTCCCCTTCTCCCTGAAGTTTTCCTTCATGGACCCTCTGTCCATCTCCATCTCCAATCTTCCTTGCTGTTTCTTCTCTGCGTCTCACTTTCTGTGTCTGTCTCCCTTTCTTCTTTCTTCCTCACTTTCTCTCCATCCCCAGTTTTCTCTTTCCACCTCCCCTGTATCTTCACTCTCTCACACTCTCCTCCAAAACAACAACAGTGAGAAGCCAAAGGTTTTCATTTCTCCCTCAGGGAGAGCTGACTCTCCCGCCAGCTCTGGGGAGTTCTGATTGCATGCTGTGGGGAGGGGTCTGTGCCACCTTCCGAGGGTCAATCCCGCAGCTGACTGCGGCCTCCTCAACCTTGCCAGAGAAGGTTTGAGGGGATTGGAAGCTCCTCCACATGGCCTATTGGCTATATGGAAGGATTAATAATGAGGCAGGCATGGGTGGAACCTGTGCAGTAGCTCCCTTTTGGCTGTGTTATTATTAAGGAAGAGAAATTTTCAAATCATAAATGAAAGGGTAAGAAGAGAATTTTAAATACACACTGAAATATTGACAGGGGAGCTGAGATTTTGGAGTTCGGACTGAGAACATTACAAGTCTCAAATAATGCCTATATGGTCAGTAAATGTAAAATATCCTAAAACGTCTTTAGCTGCCTTTTCACCTGCTCACCCCCTCTCCTTGTTTCCTTTAAGCATCATGATCCCCACTCCACGGGCAGGAACTGAGCCTTACAGAACGTCCCAGGGCAGAGCTCCTTGCTGGGGCGGGGAGGGGGTGGCTCTTGTCTCCTCTGTGCAACTCACTTCCTCTGGCAAACTCATCATGTCACTTCTCCTCCTTCAACAGTTCCCCATTGCTCTCAGGCTGCAGCCCAAGGTTGGTCACTCTGCTTGTCCCACTGATGCATCTAGAGTTGCCTGTTCTGTCTTTCCAGCTTCCTGCTGTTTTTGTATGTTGTTCCCTTTATCCAAAGTACTTTTCCCTCCACTCTTACCCTTCTGGACTGAGTCTTGTTGTCATTTTGTCAAGGAAGACTTCCGGAGCTGCCCCCATGTCCCTTGGGTCTAGGATAGGAGACTCTCCAATGTGTTCCCACAGGACGCTCACCTTCGCAGCATTCTGTCACACTGTCACATTACCAGATTACTTGCCTGTCTCCCCTACTATCTCGAGTTCCCTGAAGAGCAGAGACACATCATCCACCAAATCCCCAGCACACTATAGGCAATAAGTGAACATTTGTTAAAAGATGCATCCTGGGCAGGAATATTTCCTCAAGCTCAGTGCCTCTGCATCTCTCTCTGTCAAACAAAAAGTTTGACACACAGAGAGAGGCCAGCATGAGGTAATGGTAATAAGGAAAAATGAGAAAGCAGTTTTTATTCCCTTGTCCCTTAGGTCTGCGGCCTTACACTCCGTCATCTGGAATTCTTAGCCAATGGAAGGCATAGGCCCCTGGGGACCTGTCCATTGTCTTGGGTCCCACCTCCTGTGTGCCAGATTGGATCTCTGAGTGCTGAGATCATAGCAGGGTCAGCTTCATGGGAGGAAAGATCCCTTCTTGTGAGAGGCTGTAGCTATGATCAAATGTCTGGCTGACATGATGAAGAGATACAGCTTTCCTAGGGTGCTGGAAGCAGGCTCCTGGGGTATAGAAGGGAGAAAGGGAGGTAAAGAACTGGATAAGCTGCACTAGGCCTTCACAAGCAGCAGGAGAGGTGTGAATTGGAAGAGTTCCCTGTAACAACAGAAAGCGACACTCTCCAAAGATGAACTCAGCATTTTCTGCTGTGGGAAGGGTACAAAGTTGTGTTGAGCCTCGCCCCACAACCTTTGTCTTTTCTCATCACTAAACTATGGAGCATATGCATCGTCATGTCCCAAAATGTATCGCACCCTTTTCCTGTTTTGCACCTGGCTGCCATACTCACCCAAGAACTGGCTCTCTTGCAGTGCTGAAGTTGTGTAGAAGCTACAATAGGCAAAATGTTTTTCCGAATGAAAGATATTATTTTGTCATGAAAAAACTACCAAGCTGCTGAAAATGGATTAAGCACATTTTCGCAAGTGTTTCATTCCAGAAAAGAATCTGTCACATTTCAGCCCTATGCAGGGAAAATTGCAACTGTGCCCTGCTGACAAGCAGGCTCCCTGAAATCTCAGTCTGAGGAGCAGCAGGTCTGCATTGGGATGGGTATTGTTTGGTAAATTCAGTGACTTCTAGGGCTACATTTTGGGGGGCAAAGTTGGAGAACCATTTGGCATACCTTTCTGGATTCGACTCCAATTACCCAGATGGTATGGCCCCCGGATTGCCTATCTCACTTATTGAAGTAGAGAGTGAGCTGAGGGGTACTTTGAAAGGCAGTCTGTGTTCCCCAATCTGAGAAAATTCTCAGAGCTTTAGCTACCCGTCAGAAGCACTAGGGTAAGAAGTTGGAGGGGGGTTGAAAAAAAGACAGATGCCTTTTTAAAAATCTGCTGACAATGACCGTGGTGTTTCAGTTGGATCTCTAAGGAGCAAGGCTGCATCTTTTTGCTGTGTGTGAATTTTTCTTTTCAGGGTTATTTTCAACTACCAAGGATATGACAATTTACTTGAAAGCGGAGGCTCAACTTCTGGTGCTGAGGAGCACTGGCATAAGAGGCAGGAAGCTCTTTCACCCTTGGGAGTTAAGGGGATGGTGCCTAGTGTGTGGGGGCAGTAGTGGTGGTGGAGGTTTCACAGTCCTAGACTCAGGTGGAGTAAGGAAGAACAAAACTGCAAATATGATAGACACATTCAGTGCTCTCTTGACTTTTGGACAGGGACTGGTTCAAGTCTGATGCTTCGAAGACTTGGCTTCATCCTTTTGTTTAATAGAATATTTCAGGTATGAGTTTTGCAAACAAAACGTGAAGCATGTGAACTTGGGGGAGGCCAGTGGAGAGGTTAACCAAATTCCTCTCAGTCTCCAAAGACAAACCAGATATCAGCACCAGGATGGCACCAGTGAACAATGGCCCTGCCTCTGTTGCTGGGCTCTCTGTTAAGAATCCAGGGAACAACAGAATGGTGAAGTTCCAGCTAGGGAAGGTGTAGTGACTAGCATCCAGATATGCATCGTTTCTCTCCTTCTGGATGAACCTTCAGAATCGTTACTCATCACATCAGCCACCTGAGAGCAATTCACTAGCTGTGCAGAAGAGTTTCATTAAGGTTTCCACAGAGTTTGCATTGACTTTCCTTGTCTCTTGGCTCTCGTAACTCTGCAACTTTCTTGTTTGGGGATGATAAGACCATGTCACGCCTCTCCTCAAAGGTAAATTGGTTTTTGCTTGTGATCATGCTCATGAATATCTTATTTTACTCATTTGGGGATTGTGATAATGCATGCTATGTAAGGCATGAAGCCCTTACATAACATAAAAGCAACAAAACTTGGAAAAATGAATACTTACAGTGTGGAATGGATCACACTCCCACTAATTCATGCATGCATTCAACAAATATTTATTGAGTGCAAATCATATGCCAGATGCCAGATATTCTAGGCTCTGGAGATACAACAGTGGAAAAGCAGATGGAGTCCATGCCCCCATGTAGCTTACATTCTAGTGGGTCGCTAATGTAATTCCTTCCCAAAGAAGGCTTCTGCCTGAGTCATCAGCAATGCCCCAGGGCCTGAGTGCCTCTCACAGCCTATGAGTAGGGCATTTATTATATGGCCTAGAAAATAGACTATTTTTTTCAGCAGGCAGTAATGAACTTCATTTTTGTCTATCCCAGAATATTTCTGCTAGTCACATCACACAGGTCACCACCTGCTAGACACCCTTTCAAGAAGCTTATCCTTCAATAATCCAACCCTACAGAACACACATGCCCAAGAACCCTGAAAAGATAATCTTATGATTATCTCTGATGATGCATATATATTTGCCTGCAACTGTTAATAAGCACCTTCCTCACTAGAAGAGTCAGGCGGGATTAACAGCATCCTTAGCTGTGGTGTTTCTCTGAGTGGTTTCCAATTATTTAGGATCTTTCCTTCCTTCCTTCTTCCCCCTTCGATCTTTTCACTTTATCTTTCCTTCAGTCTATCTTTCTGTCTGTTCTCCTGTCTTTTCTTCTGTTTTTCCTTTTTGGTTTTATCATGAATAAATTCAATGTTTGTTGTAATAGGACACTGGACATTAAAGTAAAGAATGGTTTGGTTGATGAC